TTTGCTCATTATCCATTAGAAAGTAAAGTACTAAATATTTGGTGATGGGAGGGGACTACAGAACTTGTAATTCATTAGCTTACCTAGCAGAATCCTTTGAGGAGGATTGCCACAATGTAGTAGCACAATACTGAGTAGTGATAAAATTTAAACCTTTATTATTTTCTAAAATATATTTTTATTGATTTCAGGGGGGGGAGAAGAAGTATGTATCAATAAGAATCATTGATTGCCCGCCTCCTGCATGTCCTCTACTGGGGATCAAGCTGCTATCTAGGCATGTGCCCTTGATGAGAATTGAACCTGGGACTCTTCAGACTACACGCTGGTGCTATCCACTGAGCAAAACCAGCCTTTTTTTTTTTTTTTTTTTTTTTTTTTTAAACTTTTTTCAGGGTGGGGGGGGAGAGTAACATCAATGATGAGAGAGAATCATTGATTGGCTGCCTCCTGCATGCCCCCTTACTGGGGATCAAACCGACAACCCAGGTATATGCCCTTGACGGTAATTGAACCTAGGACTCCAATCTGCTGGCCGACACTATCCATTAAGCCAAACCGGCTAGGGCTAGGGACAACCTTTATGTTTAAAATCTAGCGTTACTAAGTGATCAACTTGCTTGTTAGGCATGTTTTTGTGATACAGGAAAATCAAGTGGTTATAAGATTTTTAATGGATTTTGATAAATGTTTAAATTAGTGTTTCCAGGGTATAACAATTCTGGAGAAATGGTTCTATGTTTCATTGACAATGATTTTTCATTTTGGCATCACAGATAAACATTTTTCAGTTTTATGTATACCTTCGCTAATCAATTTTCACTTAAAATTGCCATGTGCCCTAACCGATTTGGCTCAGTTAATGGAGCATTGGCCTGCAGACTGTACAGTCCCAGGTTCAATTCCATTCAAGGGAATGGACATTGGTTGCAGACACATCCCCAGAAGAGAGTGTGCAGGAAGAAGCTGATCGATGTTTCTAACTATCCCTCTCCCTCTCTAAAAAATAAGATTAAAAAACATATATAAAGTGTGTGTGTTAATTCCATGAGCTTGTAAGGCATAATGGATATATACTGAGTGGCCAGATTATGATCTCTGAACACATAATCTGGCCACTCAGTGTATAACCTATATAAAGTCCTATATAATAAAAAGCTAATATACAAATTGTCTCCTTGACCAGTTCGACCAGCAGGCAGGCCAGCCAACTGCCCATGTCCCCTCCCCCTGGCCAGGCTGCCCAGACCCCACCCATACACACATTCATGCACTGGGCCTTATATATGTGTGTGTGTGTGTGTGTGTGTGTAGACACTGAGTGGCCCCATTATGCGTTCAGAGATCACCATAATCTGGCCACAGTAACTGCTTCCTGTATTTCTACAGCAGCTGTCGCCAACTGGTGGTCCACAGATCACTGATGGTCTGAGGTCTGAAAGGTTGGTGACCTCTGCTCTACAGTATTTTAGGAGCTTGTCCTTTAATGAATGACATGGTCCGTCTTGCACTCACCTAGTACAGTGTTTTAAAAATTGGTAGCCAAGTTTAAACAAATGAAACTATTATATCTAAAGTAACCAATAGATAATATTTTTAATTAAGATTTTATATATTTATTTTCATACTTAAGTGTTTTAAATCCAGTGTATATTTTCTTAACATCCTAATTGAGACCAGCCATATGTAGCCATGGGCAACCATATTCAACTGCAGATGTAGAGGGAGGTAGATTGGTAATTATAACTTGTATAATTAAATTTTAAGAAGCAATTATTGAAACCGGTTTGGCTCAGTGGATAGAGCGTCGGTCTGCAGACTGAAAGGTCCCAGGTTCGATTCCGGTCAAGGGCATGTACATTGGTTGCGGGCACATCCCCGGTAGGGGGTGTGCAAGAGGCAGCTGGTCGACGTTTCTCTCTTATCGACATTTCTAGCTCTCTATCCCTCCTCTCTCTGTAAAAAATCAATAAATTTTTTTATTTTTTTTAAATATATTTTTATTGATTTTGTACAGAGAGGAAGGGGGAGAGAGAGTCATCGATCAGCTGTCCCTTGCACATCCCCTACTGGGGATATGCCCACAACCAAGGTACATGCCCTTGACCAGAATCGAACCTGGGACCTTTCAGTCCCCAAGCTGACGCTCTATCCATTGAGCCAAACCGGTTTTGGCTAAAGTATATATATATATATTTCTTAAAGCAATTATTGAAGTCCAGGGTTGGGAGACCAGATAACTGCTTCACACAGTTGGAAATATTTATATGGAAGGCATACTCCTTAGATTTGATTTTATTAAACCTTTTGCTACCCCTTTTTTTCTGTACGTTACTGAGCTTTAACATCTCAAGGCCTGTGCTCCATGATGGCTTTACCCTTGTAAGCAACAGGATATTGTTGCTGTCCAGGAGATATTTGATAGGAAACCAGAGCAGTAAAACAGCCACACTGAGGCGCAATATATGATGAGCAGTGTGAGAGCAATTGGGTATGAAGCTAACTTGGAAGGTAGGGTTGGATTACATAGCTGTGTATAGGTGTTAAAGAAAACAGCAAATTCAAATGAGGTTTTATTGGGTGGGTTTTAAGTTTAGAAAAATACCATTAAGAAGTAGTTAATGGCCAAAACCAGTTTGGCTCAGTGGATAGAGCATCGGCCTGCAGACTGAAAGAACCCAGGTTCGATTCCAGTCAAGGGTATGTATCTTGGTTGCGAAACCCCAGTAGGGGATGTGCAGGAGGCCTGATCAGTGTTTCTCTCTCATCAAAGTTTCTAGCTCTCTATATCTATCCCTCTCCCTTCCTCAGCAAAAAATCAAAATATATATTTTTTAAAAGTGGTAGTTAATGGGAGGAAATGGAAATAAGTTGTTTTCTATATCATCCCTGGTTAATCAAGAGTTTCATAGGCCAAAAGATTTAATTATATATTTTTAATTATAATTTTTTAAGTTTTTTATTTTAGAGGAAGGGAGAGGGATAGAGAGAGAAAGATGGATGGGAGGAACAGTGATTGGCTGCCCCATACTGAGATGGATTCCAACCTACAATTTCTTGGTTCATGGCTTGATGCTCAACTTCTGAGCCACACCTGCTAGGACAAAACTTATTACTGAATTTTAGAGAGCAAAAAGAGAAACATTGATTTGTTCCATTTATTTATGCATTCATTGGTTGCAGCTTATATATACCTTGACTATAGGTCTTAAATGAGACATTTTTTACTGTAAGTGGGTATAATTAACAACAATAACAATGAGGGGCTCTGTGGTCTCCTGGGAGATGTTGCCATGAGGGATTTGGAAAAAATAAGTTTTCCTGACATTCCAAAGGTACATTATCCAAAAAGACTAGACAGGCTCTGTTAAAGATTGATCTTTGTCAAGAAATGATACCAGCCCAGGACATGACTACTTGTCATGAATTCCCTTTGGGAAGTTTTCATTTCAGCCGTGTCTGGTTTGCTTCAGGAGACCACAGAGTTCCTGTCAAGGGCACATACCTCAGTTACAGATTCAATTCCAGCCCTGGATCAATGGATGTCTAATACATTGATGTTTCTCTCTTCCTACCCCTCACTCCCAACCCCAATTCTGCATCCATTCCACTCTAAAAATCAATGGGAAAGCCGAGACCAGTTTAGCTTAATGGATAGAGCATCAGCTTAGGGACTGATGGGACCCAGGTTCGATTCCAGTCAAGGGCATGCACCTTGGTTGTGGGCGTTATCCCCAGTAAGGGGTGTGCAAGAGGCAGCTGATCGATGACACTCTCTCATTGATGTTTCTATCTCTCTCTCTCCCTTTCTCTCTGTACAAAATCAATAAAATATATATATTTTTAAAAATAATAAAATAAAAATAAAAATCAGTGGGGAAAAATATCCTCACTCCCTGGATGAGTCTTTTTTAGTTTTATTTTTTTATTTTTAAATTTTTAATTTCAGCCGAAGCCGTTTTAGCTCAGTGGATGGAGCGTCTGCCTGCAGACTGAGAGGTCCCAGGTTCAATTCTGGTCAGGGGCATGTACCTTGGTTGTGGGCACATCCCCAATAAGGGATGTGCAGGAGGCAGCTGATCGATGTTTCTAGCGCGCGCTTTCTCTCTCTCTCTCTCTCTCTCTCTCTCTCTCTCTCTCTCTCTCTCTCTCTCTCTCTCTCTCTCTCTCTCTGCCTTCCTCTGTAAAAAAATCAATAAAACATTTTTAATTTTTTTTTTTTAATTTCAGATCATTCTATGTAGTTTAGGTCTGTCTCACAAGCCTCCCCTGAGCTTATCAGGTTTAGTATATGATCTCCTTTTGAGCACAAGACATCTAAAATATTTAGCTAGTTTATCCACACCTGAGGGTATGTTTGATTTTAGAGAGGAAGGTAGACAGAAAGACAGTTGTGAGAAATACCGATCAGTTGCTTCTCATCCAAACCCTGACCAGGGATAGACCCACAATTTAGGTATGTGCCCTGAACCCGGCTCCAACCAACTTAACCAACTGGTCAGGACTATCTAGCTAGTTTTTCATGAAAAAGTAAAGCCCAATAAGCTGAAGTAACTAAGATTAAAGGGTACTCCGTGACAAAACTGGAGTTCCATACTTGTCTGGCATGCACCGCAGAATGTGTTCCGACTTTTCAGCCTTAGATGCATAACAAGGACCACCCATATTGTTTCAACACATTCCGATTTAGTACTCTGGCTCTGTTAACGTTTACTAGGAAGCAATCCCAGTATGCAATGCAAACAATGAGTCAACAGTTGGAAACTACATGTCCCAGCATGCCATGCTCTCCAGCAACCTCGGAAGTGGGTATGAGGGACGCCCTTGCATTGTGGTAGTTGTAGTCTCTCGGGACTGGCCCGCCCCTTGTGCAGCTTCCGGGGCCTAGGTTTAAAGAAAACGCTACTGGGTGGCTTAGCGCCCTCAGAGAGAGGTGCCGCCCTACGACCTTTGCCCCCGGCCCGGGTGACCAGCTCCTCGAATCTTTCCCACAGCTCAACATGGCGGCGGAGGTGGATTTTGGGGATTTAGAGCTGTTCGAGGCGTTTGACCACCCAGAGGAATCGCTCCCAAAGCCCGTTCACACGCGCTTCAAGGACGGCGACGGCGACGAGGAGGACGAGGACGGGGTTGGCGACGCGGGGCCGCGGGAGAGGCTCCGGCAGTGCGAGGAGGCCATCGAGCGGCTCCGCGCCGAGAATATCCTTCCTTCCCGCCGCCGGGCCGCGGCGCCCGGGCGTGCGGTGGGCGCCGTGCCCCTCGGGGCGCGGGCAGCAACCCCGCGGGGCAGGAACTCGGGGTACATTTGTCTCGCCCCCGACGGCGGGCTGCGGAGCGGGGGTTCGGGCTGCGGAAGCCGCCCCGGGGGCCTCGGCGCCGGCCCCTCGGCGACCCGCTTCCGGACTCGTTTCCCCGGTCACCACCGGCCTGGGGCCGGCGTTTAGGGTCGTTTCAGACTCTTTTGACTGTTCGTTTGCAGGCTTTTTTTGAGTCATCCGCTTTCGGGTGTTTTGTGGGGGGTTTTTTTGCAGCCCAGTTAAAGTTACTGCGGTCCGGTTACAGTTGTGTATTGGGAGATACCGGGGAATTAGACTTTGTCGTAGACTTGATTTATTTATTTTTTTACGTGTGTGTGTGTGTCTGTGCGGAGCTAGTGGTCCCAAGATGTAGAGTTTGGGGGCCTTGCGGAGTCGAGGGGTGCAAAGCGACATGGTTAATGGCTTGAGTAAGATTGGGGATTCATCGTCAAGTTCTTCCACTTTGAAATAGCTTCCGAAGGGAAGGTGCCTTGCAAACCTTTAGGGAAAACGCGCCAAATGTTTTCATTTTGGCTTTATTTACCATGATGACAGCCTTTCTAGCAAGATTTATTAGTGTGTTTATTTACGATCTTAGGGTTTTTGTGTTGTTGTTGTTGTTTTTTTTTTTTTTAAGAAACTATATATATATACTGTAAATAGATAATTTTGGTTTGGTCGCTTTTTTTTTTTTTTTTTTTTTTTTTTTTTGCTTTTTTCCTTTTAGAATTTAAAGATCGCTAAAAGCGGTTGGTAAATTACCTGCTACGGCTTCGAAGTCTGATTTTTTTTCTTCATGATGTCTTTTCCTTAAATATGTTACTATGGAAAATTTCAAAATACAAAAGTCGTTAACAGTTTGTTACGCCGCATCTCAGGATGCTTTTGCCTTGGAACATTTTAAAGTGAGTGAGTGTTCACAGCTTTGGAGGGGACACTTGTTTGAAGAACATTTTTGGTCCAGCCAGCCAGTCTCTCCTGAGCTACAGGACCTGTTGCGTTTGAAATGTCTCTGTTGGAAGGAATGAAAACTGTGTTTGAATGTTTAGGTCCAAATCCCTAACCCTGCAACAAAACAGCAGCTCAGTAAGTGTGTCATCTTCAAAATAGTTGCGTGTCTTTTAACCGTATAACGTTCTGTCACCAAAAGTGAGAGTTGGTAGTTGGATTTTATGACCCTTGTAAATGTTTAATGAGGGCTTATACTCCTTAACACGTAATAACATCAAGAACTTAAAAGAAAATTGAACATTCTGACTCGACCAAGGTATGAGATTTTGAAATTACACCATAGTTTTTTTTTCTTTTATCCTGATGTTTATATCTAATTATAGTTTCTTTATAAAAAGAATATTTAGGACTTTTATATCATTTTTTACTTGTTCAGCCTACTCAAAAGAAATCAGAGTAATGATCCTTTTTTTTTTTTAACTTATGGGGATAACACTTGCAATGCTCATAATTGCATTAAACTGACTTACTGGATGAAAATATTTGTGAAACAATTCAGAAAATTTTGACTTAATGTTCAGAACAGGCTCATTGTCAATCCATTGACTATTCAACAAGTATTTCTGGGAAATTAGAATTAAAATTCAGTGTTAATCTAAAATATTAGTTAAAATACAAATATTTTCAAGCTTTCAGAATTTGGGGCTGGCTGATGCTTGCTACCTGATGGAGTAACTAACTGGCTTCCCTGGTGACTAGAAGTTTAAAATTTTAGAATTTAGATGCCTTTTAGAATTTAGGTGCCCTACCTTTATTCATCTATGCCAGCATACTTTATGGATTTAAACTAATTTTGGTTAGTTATTAACTATTGACTATAACAATTCCTTAAAAATCATAAATTTTTATATATTGAAATATACTTTAGATAAGCACGTTTCCCAATAGAGTTGATTATTTAAACATTAAGCATTTTGAAGTGGATTATAATCACCCGTGTTCAAATAATTATGGTGTCGTGGGTTTTGCCAATTTATAAAACGTAAGCATTAGAATTATGGAAAAGGAATTTATTTTTAGAATTAGTGCCCTCCATAGAGTCTGATAAAGCATTCTACAGAAAACCAAGGAAGAAAAAAATAAAATTATTTAGGGAAAATTTGTACCCCAAATCTCTTGATTTGGAACCATTGTGATCAGAAGTTTCTCTATTTATCCAATTAACATTGCATTTGTTTATTTTTTACTTCATATTATGAGAAATTTAAAGAACGTGAAAAAAAATAATATCCATTTTTTAAAATATATATTTTATTGATTTTTTACAGAGAGGAAGAGAGAGGGATAGAGAGTCAGAAACATCGATGAGAGATGAACATCGATCGGCTGCCTCTTGCACACCCCCTACTGAGGATGTGCCCGCAACCAAGGTACATGCCCTTGACCGGAATCGAACCCGGGACCCTTCAGTCCGCAGACCGACACTCTACCACTGAGCCAAACCGGTTTCGGCAATATCCATTTTTGATCACTTACATTCCCAGTGATTATTTTGCCATAATTTTTCTAATCCCATGCACACATTTCACCCCAAATATTATAGCATGTATCTTTTTTTTAAAATATATTTTATTGATATTTTACAGAGAGGAAGGGAAAGAGATAGAAAGCTAGAAACATCGACTAGCTGCCTCCTGCATACCCCCTACTGGGGATGTGCCCGCAACCAAGGTACATGCCCTTGACCGGAATCGAACCTGGGAACTTCCAATCCACTGAACCAAACTGGTTTCGGCTAACATGTATCTTTTTTAAAAAAAATACTTTTTCGAGCATTACCACACCACCATTATCATACCTCATAATTGTCATGACTTCCTTGATAACGTTCTCATCCCAGTACCTACTCACATTTCCCCAACTAGATGTTTTTATAGCTGATTGTTCAAGCTGGGCTTCAACCGAAGACCATGCAGTTACATGGGGTTTTGAAAACAGGATGTATCTTTTATAAACTGAAGTTTGCTCATGTTGCAACAACTTGATATTATAAATTTATTTCTCTACTTGATGAGAACAATTCCACATACAGATGATGTATTTCATATGCTGTCAAGGTAGAGAAATATGAGGCAGGTGAGGAATCGGAGATTCAGCTGGTCCCAGGTTCGCGATGGGATATATTGCAGTTTTCCAGGTTGCTTTTCTTCTTTTGTTTTGTTTTCCAGTATCTGAGAGTGAAATCCAAAACAGTATGCTTTTTATATCTCGACTTTAGAATCTTGGATTTGAGATGTTTAGTGCAATGTGTGCTCTGCCCTCCGAAAATAACCTATCTATTTATAAAATGTGTATTTTTCCTATATAGTTCTAAGGCAAATTCACTCTGATTCTTTTAGAAATATATTCTTGTAACCTGCTGGTTTACCCACACCTTCCCTCCTTTCCTCCCCTCCCCAATTTACAAAGAAACAGCCATCAGGTAAAGAAACTTTTTCGTTGAAAACTGAAAGGTTAACTTATGGTTTTTAATTTTTTGTGACATGTTATGTAAGGGATACCTCCATGTAAAATTGTTAAAGTAGGTAAAGTGGTGAAACAGATTTTTCCTGAGAAAACTGTGTTCCTGGTCTTATCTTTGGTACTTGAGAATTATATAGATCATGTGTTTATATGTACATATAAAACATATATGAATGTTTTGCTTTAACTCCTCTAAGAATGTTTTAACTTCTGTTTTAGTGGAATATTGGTGAACAACACTAAATTAGATGGACCTTTATTACAGATTCTATTTATGAACAATGTTATTTCAAAGTAAGTCATTTTTCCCTTTTTTTAAATATAATGAATTCATGTGCTTATGAAACAATGTCTTCTGTAAGAATGCTGCTTTAATTTGTACTTCCTTATTCTTTTACTTAAATTTATGAAATCCTGATGAAGAGCGAGGACATTAGAGTCATGTAAACATGAATTTGAATCTGGTTTCTTTCTTTCTACATATTTGAACCTGGGCAGATCACTGGCCCTCTCTGCATGCCAGTCTCCTCACTGGAAAACCAGGAGATCAATAGTGACCACCTCCTAGGTAGCTAAGTGAGCACCTGTAAGAATCCATTAGCCCCTAATTTAAAAAAAACAATTACCACCGAAACAATGTTAGCCATTTATCTTCCCACATCAGGTAACAGTCTTCAAAGCTTCCCCACATTATATTTATAATATATTTTTGTTGATTTCAGAAGGGAAGGGGGAGAGAGAAGAGACATCAATGATGAGAGAGAATCACTGACCGGCTGGTTCATAGATCGATGCTCAGCTACTGAACCACACCGACCAGGCATGATATATTTTTTAATATCAAAACTAGCCCTGGGCAGGAGGTCTAAAGCTTGTTTGAGTCTGGATGACTGCATTCCTGTAGTGTGTGCTGGCGCTCCGAGATGGTTTGAGGCCCTTCCTCACAGATTGGTTCTAGTCTTTTCAGACAGAAGCTTAATCACATTCTCTTGTGTGCTGGGGAAAGAGCAGAAGGTAAAGGGAACTGTCCATCCAGTCGTCCTCTGGGGCAGGTCTGTTACCTTCTCTGTCTCCGCAGAAGAGGAGCCTGAGGGTCTGAGGGGAAGGGAAGCTGGATGGTGAGCATAGCAGCAGCCAGGGGCTGGGCACAGCTGGGCTCTAACACCGCTGTCACCTTCAGATTAGAGTCAGCATCTGCTCTAGCTTGCGGCAGTCTGACTTCCGCAGCGCCCACCTGCAAAAATCTTAGAATGTCAGAGCTGAAGAGACTTGACAGATCCTAGAATCTGAAGAGGAAGTTGGCTGCCCAGCTGCAGCCTGCACTGGGCTCCTTCGGGATCTCCCGCAGGAGACTGAGAAGTTTGATGAATGTGGTTCTTGAGCTGGAGAAAGTAGACCTCAGGAGTTTTTCTAACATTGCATTTTTGTTTTGTTTTTCACGTTTAATATTTATGCATTGTTATTGTTGTTGTTTAAATATATTTTATAGATTTTTTACAGAGAGGAAGGGAGAGGGATAGAAAGTTAGAAACATCGATGAGAGAGGAACATTGATCAGCTGCCTCCTGCACACCCCCTACTGGGGAACTGCCCACAACCAAGGTACATGCCCTTGACCGGAATTGAACCCGGGACCCTTGAGTCCCTCTATCCACTGAGCCAAACCAGTTTTG